CTTTTACACACACAGGGGCTTTTACACAGAGAAGTCCTTACACAAAGGAGTTTTTTACACACAGAAGGTTTTACACAGAGCAGTCTTTACTCTAAGGAGCTTTTGCACACAAACGTCTAGGAGCTTTTTCACACAGAACTTTTTACACGAAAAAGGCCTGACAGAGAGAGTTTTTACACACAGACGCGTTTGCACATAGAAGCTTTTACACAGAGAAGCCTTTACACAGAGGAGCTTTTACACACAAAAGCATTTGCACACAGCAAGCTTTTACACACATAGGGGCTTTTACACAGAGAAGTCTTTACACAAAGGAGCTTTTTACACACAGAAGGTTTTACACAGAGAAGTCTTTACTCTAAGGAGCTTTTGCACACAAACGTCTAGGAGCCTTTACACACAGAAGCTGTTACACAAAGAAGTCTTTACACAAAGGGCTTTTTACACACAGACGCGTTTGCACACAGAAGCTTTTACACAGAGAAGCCTTCACACAGACGAGCTTTTACACACAAAAGCATTTACACACAGCAAGCTTTTACACACACAGGGGCTTTTACACAGAGAAGTCCTTACACAAAGGAGCTTTTTACACACAGAAGGTTTTACACAGAGAAGTCTTTACTCTAAGGAGCTTTCGCATACAAACGTCTAGGAGCTTTTTCACACAGAACTTTTTACACGAAGAAGGCCTGACAGAGAGAGTTTTTACACACAGACGCGTTTGCACACAGAAGCTTTTACACAGAGAAGCCTTTACACAGAGGAGCTTTTACACAAAAGCATTTGCACACAGCAAGCTTTTACACACACAGGGGCTTTTACACAGAGAAGTCTTTACACAAAGGAGCTTTTTACACACAGAAGGTTTTACACAGAGAAGTCTTTACTCTAAGGAGCTTTTGCACACAAACGTCTAGGAGCCTTACACACAGAAGCTGTTACACAAAGAAGTCTTTACACAGAAATATAGCTTTCACACACCCGTCACAGACGCGTTTACACGCAGAAGCTTTTACACAGAGAAGCCTTTACCCTTTACACAGAGGGTTTTTACACACGGAAGCTTTTACACACAGTGAAATTTTTACACAGACGTTTCACACAGAGAAGCTTTCACACACAGAAGCGTTTACACAAAGAAGTCTTTACACAAAGTGGTTTTTACACACAGAAACTTTTACACACAAAAGCTTTTACACAGAGAAGTCTTTGCACAGAGGCGCCTTTACACGAAGTAACAAGTTGAAATTGGCAACAGTTCTTCGGGAAAAACCCTTGGCAGGAGCTTTCGGGAACTCACTTGCTCCCCAAAAAAGCCGTCTATTTCCAACAAAGTTCCTATTCGATGAACTTTTTTCAAAAACATAAGGACTATATTTCTGAAGCAGATCCCCATCCAAAAGCTTTCAAGCCCACACTGCGATGAAATGGAGGGTCGAGAAATCCGGCGGAGCCGACGAGGGGCGTCAGCCCTTAAAATCCGGGCGCCGGCCCCGGGCCGCAGCCCGTGTCCTCGCCGGAGGCCTTCGGTGGTAACCGAAGGTTATATACGGCTGCCCCCCCTGCCGCCGACCACCTCCGGTCAATTCGCGTTCACCCCCGACCCACGATTATACGTGTAATTTACAGTGTATTCTGCGGGTGGTGTTCAAAAAACATCGTTTTTTTACAGGGTTTTGTGGCCTTCGCCGTCTCCAGGTTTCATCTTGGCGACGTTAAAAAACCATAGGTTTTTCATGGTTTTGGGTCTTCGGACGGGGTCCGGAACGGAAAACTGGACATCTTGACGGCCTTGGTGCCAACATAGGGCCAACATCGGCCAAGATGTGGGCTACATGGGTCAACATAAGGCTAAGATAGGGGCAAGCCTGCGCCAACATAGGGCCCACATAGGCTCAAGATGGCCCCAAGATGGCCCAACATAGGTCCAACATGGCTCCAAGATGGCCCAAGACGGCCCAACATAGGCCCAAGATGGCCCCAAGATGGCCCAACATAGGCCCAACATGGCCCCAAGATCGACGACGACCACGACAACAACAACAACAACAACGACGACGACGACGACGACGACGACAACAACAACAACAACAACAACTACTACTACTACGACAACAACAACAACCACCACAACAACAACAACAACCACAACAACCACAACAACAACAACAACAATAAAAAAAACACGACGACCACGACAACAACAACAACAACAACAACAAGAATAAAAAAAAAACGACGGCGACCACGACAGCAACAACAACACCAACAACAATAACAACAACCACCACAACGAGAACAAGAACAACATCCCCGTTCAGATTGGACCCGAGGGGTTGGGAGCCCCATTTTGTAGCTACAGAACGGCGTCCCCAAGGTGCCCTTCTTACAAGTTGGCAGAACCCAACGTTCGCCGAGGAAGGTTTTTGTTACAAAATGGCAGTCCAAGCTGACCCCTAGTTACAAAATGAGTCACCGATTTTGCTCGACTCGCATCCGCTCGCATCCGTTGGCTCGATTTGCCCTTTACAGAATGGTGGGGACTGGGGGTGGCTATACTCGCACTATCCTAGGATCCCTGGGAAGTAACCTGCAACAGCCCGGCCAACCCGAGTCGCGGTTCATTTTTTCCGTTCTTTTGCGTTCATCCGTCTGTTTTGGCGTGACGCTGTCTGAGTGGCCAAGCTAAACATTAAATACAACGTTGGATGTCATAATCAAAAAATATAAATATATCGATATATATATGTATATATATATGTATATATATATTATTTGACCCCTAGTTACAAAATGAGTCACCGATTTTGCTCCACTCGCATCCGCTCGCATCCGTTGGCTCGATTTGCCCTTTACAGAATGGTGGGGACTGGGGGTGGCTATACTCGCACTATCCTAGGATCCCTGGGAAGTAACCTGCAACAGCCCGGCCAACCCGAGTCGCGGTTCATTTTTTCCGTTCTTTTGCGTTCATCCGTCTGTTTTGGGGTGACGCTGTCTGAGTGGCCAAGCTAAACACTAAATACAACGTTGGATGTCATAATCAAAAAATATATAAATATCGATATATATATATTATCTGACCCCTAGTTACAAAATGAGTCACCGATTTTGCTCGACTCGCATCCGCTCGCATCCGTTGGCTCGATTTGCCCTTTACAGAATGGTGGGGACTGGGGGTGGCTATACTCGCACTATCCTAGGATCCCTGGGAAGTAACCTGCAACAGCCCGGCCAACCCGAGTCGCGGTTCATTTTTTCCGTTCTTTTGCGTTCATCCGTCTGTTTTGGCGTGACGCTGTCTGAGTGGCCAAGCTAAACTTTAAATACAACGTTGGATGTCATAATCAAAAAATATAAATATATCGATATATATATATATATATGTATATATATATATGTATATATATATATGTATATATATATATATTATTTGACCCCTAGTTACAAAATGAGTCACCGATTTTGCTCCACTCGCATCCGCTCGCATCCGTTGGCTCGATTTGCCCTTTACAGAATGGTGGGGACTGGGGGTGGCTATACTCGCACTATCCTAGGATCCCTGGGAAGTAACCTGCAACAGCCCGGCCAACCCGAGTCGCGGTTCATTTTTTCCGTTCTTTTGCGTTCATCCGTCTGTTTTGGCGTGACGCTGTCTGAGTGGCCAAGCTAAACATTAAATACAACGTTGGATGTCATAATCAAAAAATATAAATATATCGATATATATATATATATGTATATATATATATATTTTATATTATATATATAATATTTTATATATATATATATCATATATATATATATTTAAATAGATGTGATGTGACTCATCTCGAGCATTCATGACCACTCAGACGCATCAGACTTTTCAAGGCCTCTCCCAAGCCCTGCACCCAAGGCTATGAAAATTATTCTGTGATTTTTTGATTCCATCCAGTTTGTAGGGGCTATAGTTGAGTATTATCCATTTACGCTTTGAATCCATCCAATTTGTAGTGGTTATTGATTAGCCCTCCAGACTCCGACAGAATGGTCGGGACTGGAGGGTAACAAACTCGCACTTCCAATGCAAAATTCCGGTACCGGGGGGGGTCCACTTACAAGATGGCAGAACCCAGGGTCAAAATTTTGCACAAAATGGTAGCCAAAAACCATTCTGTAACGGCCCTGAGGCCTCAGATTTAGTAACAAAAATTTCAACGGGTATAGAACAACCATAACAAGAACAACAAGAACAACAACAACACAACGACGACGACGCCGACGACGCCGACGACGCCGACGACGACGACGACGACGACGACGACGGTGCCGACGACGCCGACAGCAACAACAACAACAACAATAACAACAACCACCACAACGAGCACAAGAACAACCATAACAAGAACAACAAGAACAACAACAACAACAACCACAACAACTTGGTAAAGCCACCTACATGGCGCCAACCTAGACCGAGGTAGGCGCAACCTCGCCCCAGCTGTGCGCCACCAGGGTCGCATTCAAACCCAGCTCGGGCTGACGGGTCTGCTTTGGCCGGCGCCCGGCTGTCAGGCGTAAGCCTCATAATAATTTATCACATGAAAATATAAACAATATATATACGTATATATACACAGGAACTGCTAGTTCAATAATAACAAGACGTGTTCTGGAAAGCACGTCGCGCCAGAGGATATGACAACCAAAACGCGCAACTTCCGGGCGCATCCAAGCAGTGCAACCAATGATGGACAAGGCCTTCCAAAAAGAATGGCTGGTTTTTTGCAACAAGAAAAAATGCCAGTCTTGAGGTCATAAAGTCCGTAAAGACCTGTCAGCCTTAAAATCCAGATCTACTCACAAAGCTGATATCACACCCATTGCGCATCTCCAAGAATTGCTTCAACTATGCACTTTCCTGGGAGTAGCCGCTAAGCCTGCAGAAACACATCATTAATATCTCAAAATATGCTCTCAGCATCCGAGCCAGTGAAGCTTGTTGGACGAGTTTCCGCTGAATCATCTCTTCCACAATTCCATCCTGATGTTGATCAACATTGATCAAGGCCAAACGATGGGAGCCCATACACCGACCAGATAGACCAGAGGGTAACGACATGGCGCGGCGGTGGCTGCCTCCAATGGATTCAATCTGATTGTTTTCAGCTGATCAAAGCTGTTTTTTTTTCGAACAGTTCCAGCATGTGCCATCTATTCTGCAGAGTTTATCTATTGGAACATGATTATTATGGAGTTTTTTGTTTATCGAATCATTCTGAATAGATGTATCGGTGAAGATCTATTATCTATGATTATCTAGTCAAACATGCGATAGATATGGACAGATCATGCTGACTGCAAGCGATGTGTCCGAGTACCATGCAGCATGGCTTCAGAGGGGATGTGTTCGCCCTTATGCCAAGTCAATGCCAAGTGGGGTTCCTAAAATGGGGGTACCCAGATCATCCATTTGATTATATATATATATGTGTATATATATATATATTATTGTTTACTATGGATTACTATTGTATATATATAAAGCTATAGTATATTACTATTGAATCGGATGTCCAATAAACCATTCATTTTGGGGTAGCCCATGGTTCCTTATGGAAACCTCCCAATTCAAAGCTCTGGGGTCCTGGACGCACAAATCGATTGGGGAACCTGAAAAGAACATGAATTTCAAAACTGGCAAGTTGGCTATATAATATAAGTAATCATCTTGTAGTTTCAGAAACACTCATTATTTCTAAAGCAAAGGCACTTCCTTTAAGTGTCTGTCAATCACTCGTGAGACCAACATATTGTCAAATGGCACACAGCTTGCTGTCGCCCGTTCTCTACACGGCGCAGAAATTGCACGAGTACTTACGTACTGTTGCAGCAACTTGAGAACCCGCAAAGAAAAACTGTTGGGATGGTCAGTCATCCGGCATCGTCAATAGGCAAATATTTCCATATATATGTATATATATATATTATACAGTATATTATTGTAATCGCCACTTATAGCCAAAAATAACAATCGTCATTTTCGATCAAGTGTGGCTTTGTCTGAAAGCAGGGTACCCGCCCCCCTCCCCAAAAAAAGGATGGTTCATCATCCTGTTCCATTTTAACATGGCATTTTAAAGGTGTAAATCCACCATCTTCAGGCACACCCTACCTTGCCTCCGCCAGAGGATCAAGGGCCATGCCAGGGACTTTATGATTTGTAGTTGTATTTGTAGTTGTAGATGAATCCCTACGAAAATGGAGTTTGTTTTGATGATTGCGTGTTAATATCTTTTCATGGAATACTCTAAATATACATAGAGCAATCACTCATGTTGCATTTGACCGGTTCATTTGGGTCATTGGGCTGATGGTCTGAAGAATATAAAGTGTCGTCTCCCAGAACTAAACAAGCTGAGCACATTCTGTATTCCACATGATCAATCTTGGGTAGTCCAACAACAAAAGACTCTGGTTATGGTTGTGTTCTGTTCCATCGATAGCCAAAAAAATAATAAGGATAAAACTATTGTACCCGTCCAAGGTTGGGGATGTCACGTATGTCCCTGGTAGTTACCATCTTTTTCCCAGCGATTCCAATGGAAAACCTCCCTCCAACAGTGGCAGCGACAAGATGAGCCAAAAAACAAGCGAGGCAAGTTACAGTACCAGCCAGCTTACGAAAAGCCCTAAGCGGGGGCCGGGGGCTATCAATTTGGACCCATTGAAGATCCAGCTTTAAGGACTATCGTGACATGACGTGGACTGCGAACTATTCTACATATCATTAATGCCCCTTTACCTGAATAGACAAATTCTATCAGTTTAATTTTGGATCGTTTCAAACTTTGGGACCTTTATAGATCCAAATACTTAATGAGAAGGTCAACCCCAAATGGATCCATGGAGATGTGTTGTATAGATATAATATTATATATATACACATGTACATCCAATTGACCACAAGTGAGT